CAACACACACACACACACACACACACACACACACACACACACACACACACACACAGTGTTTCTGCACAATCCCTCCTCATATGTGTGTGTGCAGCCCCTCATTCCTTGGCACCGAGCAGCTCCGATCTCACCTCGGCGCTGATCCACAGGCCCGTAAAACAACAACAACAGCAGCCGCCCCTTGAATCAGAGTGAAAATGGAAAAACAAGGTGCAACAAGAAGAATCCTTTAAATACCAGTTCAGAACATCCCAAAGCCCCTCTGCCTCCCTCCATCCTGCCTGCAGCGCCGCAGGCTTCAGCCGGCCGGTTGAAAAGCTGACAAGTGGACGGACTCGCTGCGGTCGCACACGTCCACGACCGCACACTCACAGACACTTGCAGCTCCTCCGATGCTCGGTGACAGGCGAGGGAAGGAAAGAGAAAAAAACACCACAAGAGGCGTTGGTGAAAGCTGTTAGCCTCAGACCTCTCAGAGCGATCGTATGAGTGACAGACCAGGCCGGGGTTTGGCTCCACAGTAGCTTGACCACAGGCTTGGATCCATCACCGCTGCTGACCAAGCCATGAGGGCCTGGAGGAGGAAGGAGGGGAGGCCTGTAAAAGCAGAAGTGCAGACCATCACATTTATAATGACGGGACAGACAGAACTAATTAGAAGTGAGTAGCTCTGGTGGAAATCATGACTGAGATCCAGCCTGTAATCCATCATATGACGTTTCCGTGTACGATCCAGTCACATGGAGTCTGCAGAGGAAGTAACGTCCCCGTACTTTATTTATTACCGCTACCTTTTCCCGCTGCATGTTTCAGTTTGACTGCCTGAGATGATGTCAGAGCGTGTTCCTGAAGTCACGTGTGAGCCACAGTGACAGGAAGGAACAAGACAGGATGAGTAATGGGCAGAAGCAGAAGGCAGAGGAGCATGGGGAAGGCTTTCAGGGATTCTGGGTGGTCCTCTTTGGTCAGATGTCAGTTCTGATGCACAAAATATGGCTGCATGAGTTAGGGCTTCCTCTCATGTTCCCGCTGCGTATTTCGGCCACTCAAGGCGGCGCTAACAAGGCCAGGGATCTCTTGTGGTGTTCGTGTCCTTCAAGAAACCACCAGCAGTAACATTGGCTGGCATCAGGTTTGAAATCTTGGGGGGAAAGTCTTAGAAAAACAAGAACTGCTCTTTAAGTTAAGTGTCTGAGTGAAAACCTAAATATAGCCACGGTTCAGACGGTGAGGATTAACCGGCTCCGTCCTGCTCCAACAGCAAACCCGACCGAGAGCCACCTGCAGCAGGATCCAGCGAGGAGGCGGCCCACTCCAGCACGGCTCCTCCCACCAGCGGTCCCACCAGTCCAGAGGTGGAGCTGGAAGAACCGGACCTCATGCCCGGCCTCGGAGGAGAGGAGCTGCCTCACATTCTGCTCCCCGACAGCCTGAGCCAGCTGGAGGAGTTCGGACGTCACAAAAGGCCTCGCAAGGCTCACCGCGGCCACGGCAGGCCTCGCCTCTTCAGCGACCTGTGGGTTCGCATCGGAGACGGGTGAGATCTCTGTTATGATCTGTGACTGATGTGTAGCTAAAGATGTTCAGCTTTGTAACGCCACCTGAAACAGAAATAACGGGTTGCAGGTGGACATCTGCTAAGAGTTCACGATGAGAGTTGATGAAGATGGAAATGTAGAGCTGGTCCAGCATGGTCCTCATGGGACAGAGGGACCATGTTGGATCAGGATCAGGATCAGAATCAGAATCAACCTTAATGGTCAAGTATGTACACAACATACAAGGAATTTGCTTTCTGCTGTTGGTGTCGCCCCGGGAATTTACACGAATAATAGAAATAGGAAAATTAAAAATTTGAATAAAATAAAACATAAAAATAAAATAACTAACGAAAGAAAAGAATAAAATATAATAAATATGAATAAAAAATAAAACAAGATCATAAGACAAATATATACAAGAATTTACACATCTAGTAGAAAAAGTTTATGTACATGAGTTTAAATGTGATCTTCTATAAAAAATAAAGCTACTGAATCATCCGACACACGTGTGCACTAGAAACACTCGATTCGTTGCTCATCACATGTGCAGAACAAACCTGTGAGACAACCAGGCAGTCGGTCTGAAGGCAAAACTGCAATTTAAAACAATGGAACTGGCAAATGATGAAGCTGTCATGTGAGACGGATGTCCTGCAGCACGTCTGACCTGCACATCAGAGGTCCTCCCTGCACGGCGCCGTCACGTGGTTCAGGTCCGTCACACAGTGAGCACTGAACCAAAGTCTGACCTGGAAATCAAACCTGCACAACAAGCTGTTATATTGGTCAGAAAGACTGCAGCGATATATTTTCTGCTAGCGGCTGAAATGCTGACCGCCGTCTGGCTCCAGCCACGTCCTCCTGAACAGACATTAAAGCTGGAGCCCATAATATGCACATTAACAGGTTTATAATCGTGTTCTGTGAGTCTACTGGAAAAGGTTTACAGGAATTAATGTAAAAAACACATTTGTTTTTCTCGTTATGTGCATTGCTGAGGCCCTGATGCTCAGCGTCCGTCTGGTTTCAGCCTCTCTAAGGCTCCCTATAGGAGGATAGGTGGACGGCTCAGAGCCTCCTCGTGGCCAGACGAGCTGTCAGGAAGGTCTTATACCAACGTGTGACATGGTCCCGTAGATCCACAGCAGAAAATGAGCTGGATTTTAGTACAGAGCGACGTCTGTGGAAGAGAATAACTCTGACCTGTAGGTTTTATACGTGTGTGCCAGCCCTTTAAAAAAAACTACAAAACACACTAAAGGCATTGAAGTCCTCGTCCAAAGACAGAACCGGCTCTTCAGTGTAACCTGCAACAAAACAACATGTTAGAGTTCCTCTGAACACTTATAATCTTTCCTTTTTAGTGACACTGAGGACGTCCACGTTCCTGTTGTTCTCTAAAGCAAAGGCTCTCTGTTCTCCGTCTGCTTTCCTGTTTTGTGAAACGTCCTGCGATGTGTTCTGCCAGCGCTGCGTTGCGTTGGGCAGAAGAAGCGTTGCGTTGCCGCTCCTCGTTGGCGTGATGCCTCAGAAAACTCTCCCAGAACTCCCGTCAGCTGGCCTCATCTGAAACATCCAGCAGCTCACTTATGCCACAAATGTTTTCAGAAAACATTTCTGCCAAACTGTTTTCGGAATAAAAGAGAGAGTTGGTCGGAGCAGATAGCCTGAAGTGTCGTCCAATCAGAGGCAGCCCGTGTTTGAGCCATCGTAGGGTGGCCAATCCGGCGCTGACCCCTGCTGAGGAGCAGCTGGTAGTCATCTGTCCCAGTTGTCCTCCAATCAAACGCCCACGGTGGGGAAGCAGTGAAACTCTGCTTTATTGGATTTATTTCAGACACAGGATCATAAAGGCAAGAAGAGAAAAGAAAACACACGACCTGGAAAAAAACAAACCATTTAACAAACAAAGAAGTTAAAATAAATGGTGTGTGAAAGGAGCAGGAGGAAGGTGAGCTCGTTAACTCGTACCTGTGACAGATCGTTACTGCTTCCTGTAAACCTGATGCTTAAAGACCTCTCTAGAAACCCCAGCAGCACCTTGACTGTTCCACATTCTTGTTATTTTCACAATTCCTCAAGTATGAAAAGGTGCTGATGTGCCATAACTGGGTCAGGCCGATGGCCGGCTGAACCAAACCCGGTTCTGCCAAAGGTTTCCTCCTCCCTCCTGACAGACGCACCGAAGTGCTTCCTTCAGTGGAATCTGAGTGAAACTTTAAATCTGTTGAGTTTGTGTAGAAAAACCTCCTGACGCTGAGTTCATAAGTTGGTGCTGTATAGAACTGAACTGGACCAGCTCACGGCCCGTTCTGAACCCAGCTCATCCTCTTCTTTCTTCCCTCCTTCCTCCAGCACCACTCCACCGCCGAGCGTCCGGATCATCAACGGCTACGTGACGGTGGAGCCTCCACTCACTCACCAGCAGCAGCACAGGCGGGTGGAGATCTCGGCTACAGAGCAGCAGCCCCTCACCTGGCCCTCCTCCCCCCCACCGAGCTCCAGCTCAGCCCGGCCCGGTTCAGTCTACAGCGCTCTGTCCTGGATCTCAGCCTGGCTGTTATCACACATGCTGCTCACCTCCTGACCACAACACGGTTCTTATCTTAAGACACTGCTGCATCCATACCAGGGGAGTGATAGAGGACAGGAAGACCATCATGCAGACACAGAGACGGAGACGAGACGTCCTCAGGAGGGACAGTCCGGCTGTCAGAGACCAGCTCCAGTCTGAAGGAACGCCGAGTCTACAAAACAACAAGTCTCAATAAGCTTTTAGCCGAGCAACGAATGGATCATGTTGGACTGAAGAGGGTGGAGTCCAAACCTCAAGAAAGCATTAAGATAGCGTAACAAACACATGAAGAAGTCTTCTGCCTGTGTAGAGAAACCAGGCTGCCCTTAACAGTGAGACTAGAACATACTAACGCCAGCTAAACTCTGTGATGCTGATCTGAATGAGGCGGAGCGCTCGGTGCCACTCTGTAAATTGTGCATTTTGTTCATAAAGAAATATTGTATATTTATTATTTCTGGAAGAAAAGAGTATATTTTCCTGCTTTTTGAAGATAAATGAAAAAAAATAAACTCTGAAAACTCACAAAGTGCTCTGAGAGTCGCTTCTTTGCAGCTCCTTCAGACTGAAGTTCATGAATTCGTCTCCAACAGCCTCCTACAGAAGGCAGAAGGACAAAGCCAGATGCTGCTGAGTCCTACCATCTTCAGAGAAGTTCTGGTTGAAACAGACCCTCTGGACTCATTAGGAAGCATGCTGACGCTGGACAGCTGTAAAAGTTTGTGTGTAGAGGAGAGACCTGTGCACCAGGTGGTCCTCTGCTGCCATCTGCTGGCAGAAACAAGACAACCTGCTGAAATGAAAACCTCCTGATGCTGCAGCAGGACTTTGACCAGAGCAAATAAATGCAAATTAGGGCAATGCATCAAAAATATAAAACTCTAAATGACAGGCTAAGACAGGTGTTAGAAAGGAAGAGCAATCAGATCAGGTGACGCCTCTAACAACCAGTTCTTTAAATGATCTGAGGTCAGTTTGACCCCAGTCAGTGTTTACGTCTCTAAATAAGTCACTGACATCATCATTTATTTTATTTAAAGGCCTATTTATACATAAACTTGGCTAACGATTTTAATGGAGACATTTTCTGGAGGCTCAGGGCTCAGGTGAGGATGTCAGTAAATGTGCAGGTAACAGGAGGGTTCAAAGCTCATTGGACGCAGCATTTTACAGGTTTGAACCTCAGGACGAGCAGAAAACAGTCAACTGCAATCCTTCCTCATGTCACAGCAGCTGCCTTCTCCTCAGCTATGATGACGTCTTCCTCTGAGCTCTGCAGACGTATCAGAGCTCAACAGTCACATCAGCCTCTCAGCTCAAGTCCAGTCATTCATCACTGAGCTGTTGCTGTGATTCTTGGTATGTGGGTGCAGAGCAGTCGTTTGTTTGCAGTCTGAAGTCTGTCTGCTCGTCTTTAACGGGGAACCAGGAGCACATGTGCTGCTGGACTCATTCCTGGACTCTCTGTCCACTTAAAGACGGATTGTAAGACTTTGTTGTTCGCTTTTCAAGTTTGAACTCAGCTGGCGCCCTCTGATTCAGCAGAACTTTTCCAACCAGATGCTTTCAGGTGCTTCGTGGCGCTGGAGCGTTGGCAGGAGCTGCACCTCATCTGCTGAAGGTTTGCTTCTTCCTGTGCGACCTGCTGAAACGTTCACGTCTCTGCTCGACCTGTGTTCTTGACCTTCCATCCAAACCAACCTCGACCATCTTTATTTGTTTTGTATGTTTTATTCTCCTTTGTTTTGTTGTGCTTTTATCCACATTGGTCAGTGCTGATGTCTTCTGGGCTGCTGTCTGTAGCTACTTCATTCAGCTCCTCTACTTTATGATGGGCTTTATTCATAAAAGTGACGTGACTTAGAAGCTCCGTCAACACAAGAAGATCTCTGAGACAAGGCTGGAACTTCTCTAAGGACTCATTAATCATGTATGTTAAAGACGTGAACGATGATATTACGTCGTCTCACATCACAATGACGTGTGTTGGGAATAAAGCGAACAGATGATTGAGTCCAGCCTGCTGACACCTGCTCAGCTCCGTGGTCCCGTCTGACGCTGAAGCTTCCTATCAGCCATGTGAGTGTGTAAAGTTCTTCATCTACTTCCATCCATCATCTACACACCGCTTAATCCTCACTATGGGGGGCGGAGCCTATCCCAGCTGACTCAGGGTGAAGGCAGGTTCACCTGGACAGGTAACCAGTCTATCACAGGGCTACACTTAGAGACAGACAACCAAGCACACTCACATTCACACCTACGGACAATTTACAATCACCAATTAACCTCAGCATGTTTCTGGACTGTGGGAGGAAGCCGGAGAACCCGGAGAGAACCCACGCTGCACGGGGAGAACATGCTCTTCATCTACTAGTTCTATTTTTTTTTACAAACAGGATAAAGAAGACCTGTTGTGTTCAGGTTGCAGATGGACTGTCTGACCTCGTCAGAGCCGGAGAAGCGCTGATCAGTGAATGAGTGAAGCCACAGGTGTTGACAGCAGCTCACCTGGATGGACTTTAAATGCTATTCGTTACATGTGTGCTTTTTTAAAGCTACTAAACTAAAATAGTCCAGATTTTCTTCCAAACTGGCAGCACTGACCGTCTAAAGGCTGCTTTAGAAGTAAAAGCCTCACTGCTGACACGGTGCAGGATCGTGTGATGCACCGTAGAGCTGCACAGCCTCCAGGCTAGAAGAGCCGTCCACACGTGGAGCTACAGTCCACACGTGGAGCTACAGTCCACACGTGGAGCTACAGTCACAACGTCAGCATCTGCAGGAAACGACAGAACAGACAAGTAAAGTGAAAGATCAACGCTCTCCAGTCGTTTAATAAGCTTCATCTCAGCGTCTCCTGCAGGAAACGAGACCCCTGAAGCGCTCCAGCAGCAGGAGGCAGAACATTCAGGCTGCACACACTGGATCCGTCACTTTGAGGATTATTATTAAAGCAATAATGCAGTGCTGCTCTCAGCACTTGTTCAACTAAAATCTAACCATTCTGAGACACTCTGGACCTACAAGGCTGCGCTGCTGCAGTTCAGCACTTCAGCCGCTAGATGGCGCTAGAGCCTCAGCAGCGACCCGGACAAGGCGCTGCTGATAGAAACCTGCTCAAAGGCCTCATCAGCAGCCTGACAGTGAAGACAGGCACAGACACAGCCAGGCCTGGGCTTCCTAGAACCTACAACCTTTGTGTGGAGACATTTCAACCAGTATTTAGAATAAAGAGTCCAGTTTGCATTTTGGGCCGATGAAAATTATATTAATATTCAGTTTCAAGCTTAGATATAATCACAAGGAAAAACACAGTCAAAAATATATGCACAGATACATTCTATTTTTTAATTTAATGTATTAAAAATATAGATTTAAATTAACTACAATTATCACATAATCCTGTTCAAGTTGTGATGAAAAAATGAGAAAGAAAAACTGAAAGCTAATGTGGTTTCACCTGGTTCTCTGCTGAGAAGAACTAAATCCTGTAAAGCTTTTCATATGTGTTGGATTTTCCTCTAATTAGGTCACATTTCTTATAATTAAATATGTGGAACATTTAGCATAAATCATTGTCAGTGAGATATCTTTCATTTGTGTATATTTAGAGCCAAATCACTTTATTAAACTGTGGGACAAACTGAACCACAAATAAAGTTAATTAAGTCTAATGCGTACTAAGTTTAATTTTATTATATCTAGAAGCAGGTAAGTGTAAAAACAGTTCATTAAATGCTTCCAGTAAATATCACTGAAACACATTTAGAACTGATCTTTCTCTTCAACAGTCTTCTCTTAAGCGGCAGGAAAAAAAAAAAACGAGACAAAAGCAAGTTTTTTAGAACAAACATCTCGGTCGCCCCTTAAGCCGAGACAGGACAATATTTGCCTTCGCTAGAATACCATTTAGGCTGGGCTTTGGGCTGTTGTTTGAGGGAGCGGGGGCCTTGACAGGGCTCTGAGGGCTGACCCTCACGCTGCCGGGGACGCGCCGCCAGCCGCATATAAATAAAAGATTACAGTGGAAAATCAATTTCTGAGCAAACTCATTAAAAATGCCCCTCACCTTAAATGATTCCCATTTCCTTCCATTCAACCTGTTAACGGCGAGCTGTCCCTGAGACCCGCCGCCGGCCTGCCCTCCCCCACAGCGCCTCAGCCCACCTCCCCTCCACCCTGCCTTCGCCCTGTTGCTCTCCCCCGGTGGTAATTACTTGCACAAGTCGTTTTTTGCCCTTTGATTTGCACCGTTTCACAAATGAAGGTTAAGTTTGTTTAACCGTGCTGGATTTGCCAGTCATGTTAAAGCATATAATGTGGCAGGTCCTTGGTCTCTCCACACACCTCAGGCCCCCTCCGGCCCGGTTCCCCCCACGTCTCCGCCTCCCCATCAGCCTCTCAGGAAGGTGTTGGAGGGGTGTGGGGTGGGGAGGGCTCCAAGGTTAAGGCTTAGCGGGCCTGAGGAAGCCTGCAGTGGATCAGGCTTCAGACTTGACTCAAAGGGGACCAGGAAGTTGTTAAAAATCACCTCTGGTAAAAGGATTAAGAATCAAACTGCAGCGTTTGCCCCTGAGAGGACGTTAGAGGTGCTCGCTGACAACTCGCAACCCACCGAGAGACGGAGGGGAAAGAAACAGCAGCAGAACAAGGGCGTCGTTTGTTAAAGCTGCTGTCCAAGGTCTGGGACGAGCAGTGTGAAGAGGACACATGTGGTGCAGGAAAACTGCTGAAAAAGAAAAAACTGCACAATAGCCGAAGATGCACAAGTGTCGTAGCCTCATGTTTGATCAATACCGAATAAAGAGTGAAAGTCAGCGGAGCCAAGGAGAGCATCGATCTCCGGGGCGGTTAAGAGCGTTTCAAGTGTGCGTCGCTTTGATTGTTGAGCTGCAGCTCGCACAATGATCACAGCGACAGCTCGCCAGGAGTTTGCTGTCGCCCAGTCAAGGCAACTTTCACATCGGCACGTGTTGTCTCTCACTTCATCAGGTCTATTCTCTGCGCTTGTTGCTCAAGGATGTTGGTAAAATGTCTTCTCTTTTTTTTTGACACAAGATCTGTAATTATGAGTCGCAGCAAACATCTGTCTGGCCGACCATGTCCTGTGTGGTGAGAGCTTTGATTCCCCGTCTAGCCGAGGGCAGCCATAAAGCTCTGGGAAAACAAAAAGTGTGTTTAGCCGGAAGGGCAGATAGCTCATCTCCCTGCAGATAAACCTGCTGATAGAGGTGCTGTTTGGAGGGTTCTGCTAACTCGCCGCTCATCTGTGTTTGTGCTGGTTGAGACATTATTGTCTCCTATTGTGCGAGTCCCCTTGAGGACGCCCGGCTTTGAGGCCAGGATTGAGCCCCGCGGCCTTGTAGCGCCTCCTCACAGGTCAGGTGCAAGTCTGGAGAGCAGCCGGGCGTCTGGTGAAGGTTTATCACCGAGGGCTCGCATCATGCTGCA